TACCGGCAGCGAGGTGTAGCAACTCCTTCATTAATAACTGCAGCTTGTTCCCCATGTCGACTGACAATCTTTACATCGCTGTTGTTAAAATCATGACCATTCTCTAGGGCATCAGCAAAAAATCGGAATGATCAGCGTTGCGGTACCTGATGGCTTTTCTGTGCTCCGTTAATCAATAACTTTTAACGCTCGAGAGGGATTGCTTATGCATGTCCGGTCACAGCTATTGCAAGCAATTTCATAGACCACGTTTTTACTCTCAAAGCTGGGGTGAGAATCAAGCTTTTCGTACAATAGTTTTCCTAAAGTTTTGCCCTGCAGAAAAATACATTAAAACCGTGGGTTTTTTTTAAATTAGGCCTCACTTCTTCCCATATATCTGATATACATGGTGCCGAAATTGGGGAATTACAATCAAAAGAAGGGGCAGGACCAAGTTTGGGGTTCTTAAACACCGAATCAATTAAATATTTGGCATGTCCGTTTCTAAGGAAAGTATATAAAAAGTGCTTGATTTCACCCCTGAAAAGTCGGTCATAACTGCAATAAATTAAAACCCTATGACTTTAATTTCATGACACTGATGAAGACAGATTTGACACTGTAGGATGATGTGTTAACATAATGGTTAGAATGCTGTGGTCTTCCATATACTGGAATGTAACAGGAACGTATCTTTTAATGAGAATGCCTAAAAACGCCATTTGGTTATTTCGTTCGTGCTTTGAAGTGAATTTTATAATATTATTAGTATCTTGATCATTTAAATATTCATGCAGTAAGTGAAAATGGTTATTATGCAAAAATGAAAACGTCATGTCACTATATATCTTAAATATAATGCCGGTTTGAGGTGAGTTGAACAGAAAGAAACGGTATTGGACTGCAGATGATTTATGTAGACTTCGACTAAGACTGCACCGACAGAAGAACCAATCGGGACACCGCACCGCTCTCTGTACATTACATTACATTATCAAATTTAAAATAGACACTGCAGGTTATTAAATTAATTAAATAGACAATGTCTTCTGAGCTCAGGTCTGTGCCAGATTTTCATTCTTCCACATGGATCTGCTCTTGGCTTACGACATCTAAAACCATATCCGGTGAGCATTCAATGACGATGTTATCGTACAACGCCACGACGTCCAAAGATGCCATATGCAACGGTCCAAGGAAATCGGTATTTGTTGCTAAATGGTTTCTAAAAAGTCACCGCTGTTCTGTAGGCGGTATTGAAAGCCTGACACACCAAACCTAATAATTTTATCCAGTTGCTTACTCAGACTGTAAGTGAAACTGCCAGCCATTGGAACGATGAGTCTAAGAAACTCATCAGGCTTATGGAGCTTCACCAGGCCATATGGTTTCGGCACGCTGCAGGTGTCAATGGTAGGAGTCAAACTCTTTGCAATGTTCTCACTGAACTTGCCTTCCAAGACCAGCGTAAAGATCTGTAAAGCATTCTTACGCAGATTCCTGATCTTTGGAAAAGGGTTGGCGCTTTCCCGTTCCTTTTGGCAGATGACTGCAGATGATAAATGCTCCTTCGTTTTTCGTAGGTAGTCCTCTTTTAGCATACCAACCGTCCTTGATCCTTAATCGGTTGATAGTAAAATCAGGCTTTTTTCCTAGAAGGAAAGTCTTTCGAGTTAATCTAACATTAATAGAGACTAGAAGCTTCGTTCCACATCAACAAACAAACAAGTGATCTGTCCAACGGCCCTGCAGGCAGAAACAAGTCTACGGAGAATGATACATAGCAACACTGTGGTCTTCATTTAACAACTGCCTAAAGAACTAAAGCCATCGCGGCAGAGAAACGAACAGCAGAATTCCAAAAACTAAAAGTTGGAAAGGCCCCCGGTTCTGACGGTAAGACATAGGCATTACATCACTTCACAGCTTATAGCTACATGATTACCTTACGAAACGGCGGCCAGATGACTGGACACAGCCACCACCATTTATTCAGGTGTAAAAACTTCATCAAATTGACCTTTTGAAGCCATAAGGAAACGAAAGGTGCATCTGCAACCATTCCACTACAGAACCTAAGAACTGATCTTACAACAGCGTGACATTAGAAATTGCTATTCAAAATCATGGGAGGATCTACAGTACATCAGCTAGGTTATGAATTTGAATTATACATAATACTTCTGATATTCCGAACTGACAACTGATGGGTCCGCACTTAGCAGTGAAGTTCAACGTCAACGTAACTCAAAACTTGTCCGACAAACATCAATGATATGGGAAACAACAAAACAAATTTAAGTGCTTAAGTCAAATATTGCTAAATGTTATCTAATTCTTTATAAAAAAAAGTCTACTCTGCAAATCAGTATTCGATATTTCGGATTACAATGCATCCGTCATTTTAAAACACAAAACTGGGATCCACATGGCTTTTTAATATGGATCCCTGAAATCTGAAACGCGGGCATCCTACATTGTTGCTGTACGAAGCAAACACTGCTGTAAAGAACTATCAATCTGGATACAGAATCCAAGTAATGCTTCACAGCTGTTTCCTTTAGGGTATGCAGAAAATATACTAGTGGTAGTACCCAAAGTATACAGTAAACTTCGCAAATATGTTGCATGTTCTTAAATGATTAATCATGCTACTTTTGTAATGGAAATTGAAGGGTAATTTTTCAGCATTTAGATCAGAATTACTAAATGCACGTCCCCAAAAATTAGAAAAAACTAAACGGTTATACGATTAGCGGCATCATTATAAATAAACTGAAATATACAGCAACTTGCTCTAATGCCTTCATTCCAGACTATTCATACTGATCATATCGTACAATTGTTACGTGATCGACCCTGAAATGTGGAATGAAATTTCCAATCTTTTGAACAGTAACTGCAATCATTTTTCTTATACTGATTCCAGAACCATTAAATATCTAAAAGATAACTTTTGATCTAATTTAGTGCGTACTTCTATTTAGGAACTGAAATCATTGTTCTTAAAGCCATACACGCGTTTAGCAGGAACATGGAGATGATCATGACTGAAGCGGAAAGTAACTGTTGCAAATTAAAGCAAAAAACATCTCGAAACAGTGAATACCGCTGCGAGATTATCATGCTGATTGATACAATGAATGGAAGAAAAAGACTTCATTGTAAAAGGTCTTACAGTTCCCGTAATACCTTTAAAACATTAGATGTTCTTGAAAATCAATTTTCAGCGGGACGCAGGTGATGGCTTTGGGAAAAGTTCACAAATATTAGTTTATTCAGCCAGCAATGACGGCCACTCATCCTATCGGGTTATCGACATAGAGAAATTAGAGCGTCTCACTAACGCCCCCGTTACCTGCCAGCGTTGAGCTTCGGCAAAAATATACCTGGTTTGGAATGGAGTCCTCCGGAACACATATTCCACTCTATTTCTCGCAGTTCTCGGAGTCCTTTGACGGTCGCCTATGAAAGTGTCGTCGAACTGGTAAAGCGGATACTCAGCTGTTTCGTGTTAGTTTCAACGCTGCTTCTCCCTGACTGCTTATTTCTCGCAACTAACTTCCATAAATGGATACCGGTCTCCTTTTCCATAAACCACGGTTTCGCCAGATGTCAGGCAGCTGGTCATATCGACTTTTCCTCCATTACGTGATATTGTGAATTAATCTCCGTTATTTGAACTTACATCCATCGCTACAGACTCAGCACCATACTCTTGTAGCCTTGAACTAATACCAAAATTGTTTAAAAACGCCACGCGAAAATCCAGAAGTACGAAGCCCGTCAAGCAACACAGGGAAGGCAGTTACTCCATATTAGGCCCTACAGGTAGGTGATTTGCGGCGTTAGGATGCGAGTTCGTTGCAAACCTTGCTACTGTTTGACAGTGATTGCGAAATCCCTGAACAAGTCATTGAAAATTTCTTATGCATATCACTTGCTACACTGAAACCTATTGCGGGCACTTTAAAAAATAGCTTTGTGAGAATGCATCTGTTTTGTCATGGTACAATTGAAAAGTACTTACTGTTAATTATATTGGTAAAGAAATTTTATAACAAATAAAATGATTTTGATATCAATCGGACTAAACTGCGCAAATATTGACGCACTGTGATGCCGAAATCACGGATTCGGTAAGTTGTACCACCGATTTTGCTTAATTGTACATTTACATAATAGTTGCAAGTTGTACGATATTTTGATTAGCAAGTTTTAAAATCAAAATAAATAGTAAATGTTATAGGTTTACAGTCTGTAAGAGATTTTTTGAATCACGCCTGCATTCTGTTTATCCCGTGGTTGTCGCGTGGCAGAGTTGTAGTTCATGAAGGAAATAGACTCACAAATCAGCATATAGTTATTAGTGCATTATTCGGTGTATTTGGTAGGAAATAACGTGCAGAATCTCTGTCAGCGTAACAGTTTTTCTTGAAACTCTAAACCGTGATGATAGGAAACCTACATGGTCGGCATTTGCTCGTTTGCCGATTGGGAGGCGCCGGGTTGTTTTCACAGATAATGTTTTGAGTAAAGACCAGAAACTTAAGTTCCTTCAGTTTTTCAGGCCAGTATTTAGTTTGATGTGTTCCGTGATGCCAGGATTTGCTGGAATGAGTGTTGTCTATTTATTTTTAAAGCATTTGTAGTTGTCTGCAAGTTTTGGCTTGTACTATAGTTTTCTATCGTTAAGCCTGATTTAGACGCTTGCACATGAAGCAAGTATATGTATATTAAGTGCTGTTTATGCGCCAAATTTTCTAGCAGTCTTCTGACAATGGTATTTGAAAAAGTTTAACCAGTTGTTTGTTTTGCAAATGGTTGGCTGGTGAGCGTTGGAGTTATTTCCATGTGCATCATTGCAAACCAGTTATTCATTGAGCAGGTCCTTATGTACCGCGGTGTTTCTTGTTATTATTTCATTTTACATAAACTTTAGGCATTTTCTCGTCTGTGGCAGATTTTGTGAAAGTTGAAGCTGCTGAGATCTATCTCCGTTCATTTCCGAAGTCGGTATGGGAAGAAAGAAAAAGAAGGTTGTCAAGCCGTGGTGCTGGTATAATTTTGTGTTTATTTTTTGCTACCGAAGCTGACTAGCTTACAAATAGGTACTGCAACAGGGAATTTGATGACGACAAAATTCTTATTCAACATCAAAAGGCCAAGCATTTCAAGTGTCATATATGTCATAAAAAGTTGTACACAGGGCCGGGTTTGGCCATTCACTGCATGCAGGTACGCAAAGTAGTAGGTGACTTTCTTTCGTTTTTGTTTAGCTTTTCTGCTTCAGGTTCATAAAGAGTCTATTGAACGGATACCAAACTCTATACCTGCTCGCGGATCGACTGAGATAGAAATTTATGGTATGGAAGGAGTCCCCGAGGAGGATCTGAAGTATCACGATTTGCAAAAGCTAGGAAAAAGTAAATAACATGAAAAAGTTCCTTTGTTATGCTTTGTTTATTTTGAGGCGAAGAACCACCGGAAAAGAGACCTCGAGAAGAAACTCCGTATTTTCTTCCTGGTCCATCTCCTTCGTTGTACCAAATGGTTTCGGGAATGAACGCAATGCCAGGAGCATCTCCTGGAGGCGTACCTCTTCCACCTCTTCCGGTGCCAGGTAAGAATCCATCAGTAGTGTTATATTAGATTTCAAATACTGATGTTGGATTTAAACGGCAAATGTAAAGAAAAGAAAATTTATTTCTGCGGTAGTGTAAGAAAGATAAACGTCTGTGCACCGGGTTGTACTGCAATATTCCACTGTCAGCTGGCTTCTAGTCTCCTAGTAGGCCCATTTAAGCAAGCCACGGATCCATGGTATTTAAGCACCTGCATGACGTGCGACCGCGTCTCGTAGTTGGGACGATCAACGGCATGTTTTAGCCCAGACGCCACCATATGAAGCGATTCCATGCAAGATAACAGAATATTGTCCCGATGTCCTGGGTTAGCTTCCACAAATGGGAGCTTTCGGTACCCCTGGTAAATAAGTTTCAAATACTGATGCCGGATTTGCCGGCAGTGTTGAAAGCTCCCACTCGTGGATGTTACCACAGAACATCGGAGTCATTTTATTCATTTATTAAATTAATATAATAAAAATGATATGAAGTAAAACGGCGAGGCGGCAATGATATTTTTGTTTCTTATCATCAAAGATCGTTTAACAATTGGGTACCCCGCTTGTACTTCATGCGTGTATATATATTAATTTAAGATGTCAACCGTTTGCTATCTGTGTTGTCTCTTCGTTTTCGTGTTTGACGCGTTTGCAATCTTTGCCACTTTTAATCAGAAAAAAATTCATGACAAACCGCTGGTGATCCCTCAGGGCTGTATAATCCCT